CATTCCAATACTTTTTCCTTCATACGTGAATTTCGATCATGTTCCTATTTTCTTTTAAAAAAATCTTCATTGCCTTTTTTCACTCTTTTTTTATGTTTTTGGGATTTTTAGGCAACTGTTCTAAAATATTTTCGATTTACGGTTGTTGTTTTGTTCTCTTTACCTTTACTGTTCTCTCTATCTATCTCTCCCATCATTTGTTTATCCCTGTTCCATGTCCTGTTAATTAATGTTACTTCTATTTCAGTTTCAATCCTTTAATTCCTTTATATATCGTCTGCCCGTTTTCTATGCCCCGCCTCTCCCAGACCCGGAGCGCTGCGCTGATTGGTCAGCCGCTGGGGAGTCATGCACCTGTTGCTGCTGACGTCACGCTGACGTCATAGTTCTCGGCCACCCAGGATGCTTCTTTTGTTGTTATTTTTTCCCTATTGGGTGAGCGTAATCCAGGGTGATATTTATGCCGCGCAGCTGTAGTGGGTAAGGAGAGAGTGAGACAGACAGACAGACTGACACAAACAGACAGATAGACAGGCAGACAGACAGACAGAAGCATAAATAGGCAGATCAAGAGAGATAAATGCCAAAATTGCGAGAGCTTTGTTTTTTGCAGTGAGACAAACCGTCAAATCGCCCACTAGGGAGACAGTAAGCACAGACAGAACGAGACAGTTACACTACCCCGTCACAAGCCAGCAGCCGCAGACACGTAACCAGACGGTAAAATGGACCTGCAGAATAAAATCAAATCTAACTGTGATGTATATATATATATATATATATATATATATATATATATATATATATATATATATATATATATATATATATATATATATATATATATATATATATATATATATATATATATATATATATATATATATATATATATATATATATATATATATATATATATAAAGATGGAAGAGGATACACTGACAGAAACCGGCAGCCAGAGAGACAGGCAGAGACATAGACACAGGCAGACACAGGCAGAGACACAGGCAGAGACACAGGCAGAGACACAGGCAGACACAGGCAGAGACAGCCAGAGACACAGGCAGAGACAGGCAGAGACACAGGCAGAGACACAGGCAGAGACACAGGCAGAGACACAGGCAGACACAGGCTGAGGGGACATTAAGAGCAGACAGCTAAGCAAGGGGGTGGAAAACGGGTGCCTCGGGTCACCAGTCTAGATTTTCGAGAAGATATGTAAATTAGGGCGTCTGAAACCCGTCCACTCACACCCTCTATCTCATTCTTACCCCCCATCTAGTCCTGCAGTTCTTGGTGTCCTCCCTCGCCTCTCTCTCTCTCTCTCACTCGCTCTCTCCTTCTCTCACTCGCTCTCTCCCACGTCCTTCCTTCCTTAACCTCCCTCCCTATACTCCAACTATCATTCCCTCCCTCAATAATCCCTTCCCCTTCCCTCTCTCCATCCAGGATCTTCGCGAAGGACATTTTTGTTCTCGGTGGCGGAGTTCAGAATACACAACAATGAGGACGATCTTGGCCACTTGGTGTAAGTCTAGTGGGTCGATCTTTAATCATCTAGGGTGGGAAGGGAGGGAAAAGTAATGTGGAGAGAGAGAGAGAGAGAGTGAGAGAGAGAGGTACTTACCTGTTACACACTGACTATGGGAAAGTGTCTCTATAACTCTTTGTTCCACGTCTACTGTCCTTCCTGCAGCTGTAGTGTTATAACTGAACTACCTTGACGTTTGAAATGTTTGTCGAACCTGGTCTTAAAATTGTGGAGAGAGAGGTGGCTTCCACGACATATGGCTTCTGTAGCACAGTAGCCTACGTCCTCTGTTTATTGAGTGCATTACAGTTGTTGACCACTTTTCTTTACTTCTTCTAGTAAGTAAACTAGTAAATGGGAAATACTTACGTAATTTCGTTCCATTTCTTCGACTTTCTGCGTTTCCAGCTTCCACTTATATCTTCTTGTGAGTGCATTTTCTCAGTCCAAAGAGGTTGTTTTTGTCCACCTTGTCTATTGCACTCATCAGTATGTAATATGTCGTGATCATATCTTGTGTACCTTCTCTCTTCCAGAGTAGTGAGATCTACTTCCCGTATCCTGTACTCACACCTTAACCCTCTTAGATCTACCACTAATCTGACCAATGGCAAACATGACTAATCAAACTATTCACATGCATTACATCACTAAAAATTAAGAATTAAGAGACAACTCTATCTCTAATATTCTAATAAATATCCATGAAATTTACCCTGGGATGAATTACCAGAAATCTTAGCCATGTATTGTAGGGTAGGGTAGACGGGTAGGTTGGGTAGACGGGTAGGGTAGGGTAGACGGGTAGGGTAGGGTAGACGGGTAGGGTAGACGGGTAGGGTAGGGTAGACGGTGACTCCTGCAGCTAGCACGGCCTGAAAGCCTCGTGCCCAGTTCATGCCTTGTACCGTAATGTTAGTTACGGTGATGTCATGACATCACCGCCTCTCTGACTTATCATAGGTCTAAGGCAATACAGCCTGAAACTAACACACTATCAATGTAAACAGCTTACTATATAGCTCATTCAAACTTCAGTTCCTGAACCCATTATGTGTCCCTGTTACCGTTTCCACTACTTCTTAAAGGATGGGTATGGGGTCCAATACCACTCACAGGATGGGTATGGGGTCCACTACCACTCACAGGATGGGTATGGGATCCACTACCACTCACAGGATGGGTATGGGGTCCACTACCATTCACAGGATGGGTATGGGATCCACTACCACTCACAGGATGGGTATGGGGTCCACTACCACTCACAGGATGGATATGGGATCCACTACCACTCACAGGATGGGTATGGGGTCCACTACCACTCACAGGATGGGTATGGGGTCCACTACCACTCACAGGATGGGTATGGGGTCCACTACCACTCACAGGATGGGTATGGGATCCACTACCACTCACAGGATGGGTATGGGGTCCACTACCACTCACAGGATGGGTATGGGGTCCACTACCACTCACAGGATGGGTATGGGGTCCACTACCACCCTCAGGATGGGTATGGGGTTCACTACCACTCACAGGATGGGTATGGGGTCCACTACCACTCACAGGATGGGTATGGGGTCCACTACCACCCACAGGATGGGTATGGGGTCCACTACCACTCACAGGATGGGTATGGGGTCCACTACCACTCACAGGATGGGTATGGGGTCCACTACCACTCTCAGGATGGGTATGGGGTCCACTACCACTCATAGGATGGGTATGGGGTCCACTACCACTCACAGGATGGGTATGGGGTCCACTACCACTCACAGGATGGGTATGGGGTCCACTACCACTCACAGGATGGGTATGGGGTCCACTACCACCCACAGGATGGGTATGGGGTCCACTACCACTCACAGGATGGGTATGGGGTCCACTACCACTCACAGGATGGGTATGGGATCCATTACCACTCACAGGATGGATATGGGATCCATTACCACTCACAGGATGGATAAGGTAAACAATAAATGATCTAAACCAATCATTCATTGTGGACAATGATCCGCGTACTCACCTAATTGTGCTTTCGGGGGTTGAGCTTCTGAACTTTGGTCCCGCCTCTCAACTGTCAATCAACTGGTGTACAGATTCCTGAGCCTACTGGGTTCTATCATATCTACATTTGAAACTGTGTATGGAGTCAGCCTCCACCACATCACTGCCTAATGCATTCTATATGTTAACTACTCTGACACTGAAAAAGTTTTTCTGACGTCCCTGTGGCTCATGTGGGTACTCAGTTTCCACCTGTGTCCCCTTGTTCGCGTACCACCCGTGTTGAAAAGTTTATCCTTATCTACCCCTGTTAATTCTTCTGAGAATTGCCCGAAACTGCCCGAACTGCCCGAAACGCTGCGCGTACTAGTGGCTTTACAGGATTGTAAATACTGTACTATTCAATGTATTCTCACAAACCCAATGTTCCTTCATGTATATATATAAATAAATAAATAAATAAATAAATTTTGTAGGTAGTGATCTTGTCTCCCCTTACTCTTCTGTCTTCCAGTGTCGTGAGGTGCATTTCACGCAGCCTATCCTTGTAACTCATGCCTCATAGTTCTGGGACTAGTCTAGTGGCATACCCCTGAACGTTTTCCAGCTTCGCCTTGTTCTTGACAAGATACGGGCTCCATGCTGGGGCCGCATATTCCAGGATTGGTCTTACATATGTGGTATACAAGGTTCTGAATGATTCCTTACACAGGTTCCTGAATGCTGTTCTGATGTTAGCCAGCCTCGCATATGCCGCAGACGTTATTCTTTTTATGTGGGCTTCAGGAGACAGGTTTGGTGTGATATCAACTCCTAGATCTTTCTCTCTGTCCGTTTCATGAAGTGCTTCATCTCCTATTCTGTATCCTGTGTCTGGCCTCCTGTTTCCACTGCCTCATTCATTGTGCCTAGTTTTCTGCCGATGCCTAGTTTCATTACCTTGCATTTACTCGGGTTGAACTTTAGTAGCCATTTATTGGACCATTCATTCAGTTTGTCTAGGTCATCCTGTAGCCTCATACTATCTTCCTCCGTCTTAATCCTCCTCATAATTTTAGCATCATCAGCAAACAAAGAGAGGAACGATTCTATACCCTCTGGGAGATGTGTGTGATATGGGAGGATGGTGAATGTCTACCGTCTGTAAGGCTGTCTACTATTATGTCTAGGTGGGAGTTTAATGTGGATACATTCTTGGCCTCTTAAACAAACATACATGGGAGAAACGGCGAGGGATACACAACCCTGGTGGAACAAGGACACAACGACAGAGAGAGAGAGAGAGAGAGAGAGAGAGAGAGAGAGAGAGAGAGAGAGAGAGAGAGAGAGAGAGAGAGAGAGAGAGAGAGAGAGAGAGAGAGAGAGAGAGAGAGAGAGAGAGAGAGAGACACGGCACCAGTGAGAGACCTTGCGGAATGGCACCAGTTGGGTGGCCCTGATGGCCCTAGTGGTTGGCGTAGTGTCACCCAGTGTGGCAGTAGCGGTGGTGGCGGTGGGCTGTGTGTGTGGCAGTGGCGGACACGGTGATAGTTCCTCTGGTGGACAGCTGAGCACCGCCGCCCGCCCCACAGCGACTCCTTGGCTCTCTGCGTCCGGCCCGACCCTGTCTGACCCTTCCGGCCAACCTGACTGACCTGGAGGGCCATAGGAGATGTGTGTTTACTAGCGGTGTGTTACTTGTGGAAGCTGTATCATAACTACGGCGGTTTAAACTGACAGACATTTAATCAGACACTACGCGGGAGAGTGTAGATCGTCAGAAACTGTCGAACAGTTCAACAAATGTGTGTTGTATCGTTTATTTCTCAACAAATTCATCGGTGGATTTGTTGGTGTCCAAATACATCAACTCGCTCGAGAGGGGGTTGAAACCTGGTGTGTGTGTGTTGCATATGATGCTGCTTGCAAGCAGCGACGACCAGCAACATTAAGCGGGGAGAGCATGGTGACCCCGGCGGCCATCAACGAATTTTAAATGGTGGAAACAGTCAGGAAAATGTCATGATGACCGTCTCCTCCCACTCCGTCTTCCCCTGTACGTCTGTGTCTGTCTGTAGTCCGTCTCTGGCTGTACATCTCTCTCTCTCTCTCTCTCTCTCTCTCTCTCTCTCTCTCTCTCTCTCTCTCTCTCTCTCTCTCTCTCTCTCTCTCTATCTCTCTCTCTCTCTCTCTCTCTCTCTCTCTCTCTCTCTCTCTCTCTCTCTCTCTCTCTCTCTCTCTCTCTCTCTCTCTCTCTCTCTCTCAAGAAACGAGGACAATTATGTGTTGTAGTACCCAGTGCCAGACTGTTAAGGTACCCAGTGCCAGACTGTTAAGGTACCCAGTGCCAGACTGTTATGGTACCCAGTGCCAGACTGTTATGGTACCCAGTGCCAGACTGTTATGGTACCCAGTGCCAGACTGTTAAGGTACCCAGTGCCAGACTGTTATGGTACCCAGTGCCAGACTGTTATGGCACCCAGTGCCAGACTGTTATGGTACCCAGTGCCAGACTGTTATGGTACCCAGTGCCAGACTGTTGTAGTACCCAGTGCCAGTGTTGTAGTACCCAGTGCCAGTGTTGTAGTACCCAGTGCCAGACTGTTGAGGTACCCAGTGCCAGACTGTTATGGTACCCAGTGCCAGACTGTTGTAGTACCCAGTGCCAGTGTTGTAGTACCCAGTGCCAGTGTTGTAGTACCCAGTGCCAGACTGTTGTGGTACCCAGTGCCAGTGTTGTAGTACCCAGTGCCAGTGTTATAGTACCCAGTGCCAGTGTTGTAGTACCCAGTGCCAGACTGTTGTAGTACCCAGTGCCAGACTGTTGTAGTACCCAGTGCCAGACTGTTGTAGTACCCAGTGCCAGTGTTGTAGTACCCAGTGCCAGACTGTTGTAGTACCCAGTGCCAGACTGTTAAGGTACCCAGTGCCAGACTGTTATGGTACCCAGTGCCAGACTGTTGTAGTACCCAGTGCCAGTGTTGTAGTACCCAGTGCCAGACTGTTGTAGTACCCAGTGCCAGACTGTTGTGGTACCCAGTGCCACTGTTGTAGTACCCAGTGCCAGACTGTTGTGGTACCCAGTGCCAGACTGTTGTGGTACCCAGTGCCAGACTGTTGTAGTACCCAGTGCCAGTGTTGTAGTACCCAGTGCCAGACTGTTGTGGTACCCAGTGCCAGACTGTTGTGGTACCCAGTGCCAGACTGTTGTGGTACCCAGTGCCAGTGTTGTAGTACCCAGTGCCAGACTGTTGTAGTACCCAGTGCCAGACTGTTGTAGTACCCAGTGCCACTGTTGTAGTACCCAGTGTCAGACTGTTGTAGTACCCAGTGCCAGACTGTTGTAGTACCCAGTACCAGACTGTTGTGGTACCCAGTGCCAGACTGTTGTGGTACCCAGTGCCACTGTTGTAGTACCCAGTGCCAGACTGTTGTAGTACCCAGTACCAGACTGTTGTGGTACCCAGTGCCAGACTGTTGTAGTACCCAGTGCCAGACTGTTGTGGTACCCAGTGCCAGTGTTGTAGTACCCAGTGCCAGACTGTTGTAGTACCCAGTGCCAGACTGTTGTAGTACCCAGTGCCAGACTGTTGTAGTACCCAGTGCCAGTGTTGTAGTACCCAGTGTCAGTGTTGTAGTACCCAGTGCCAGTGTTGTAGTACCCAGTGCCAGACTGTTGTAGTACCCAGTACCAGACTGTTGTGGTACCCAGTGCCAGACTGTTGTAGTACCCAGTGCCAGACTGTTGTGGTACCCAGTGCCAGTGTTGTAGTACCCAGTGCCAGTGTTGTAGTACCCAGTGCCAGACTGTTGTGGTACCCAGTGCCAGTGTTGTAGTACCCAGTGCCAGACTGTTGTAGTACCCAGTGCCAGACTGTTGTAGTACCCAGTGCCAGACTGTTGTAGTACCCAGTGCCAGACTGTTGTAGTTCCCAGTGCCAGACTGTTGTAGTACCCAGTGCCAGACTGTTGTAGTACCCAGTGCCAGTGTTGTAGTACCCAGTGCCAGACTGTTGTAGTACCCAGTGCCAGACTGTTGTAGTACCCAGTGCCAGTGTTGTAGTACCCAGTGCCAGTGTTGTAGTACCCAGTGCCAGACTGTTGTAGTTCCCAGTGCCAGTGTTGTAGTACCCAGTGCCAGACTGTTGTAGTACCCAGTGCCAGACTGTTGTAGTTCCCAGTGTCAGTGTTGTAGTACCCAGTGCCAGACTGTTGTAGTACCCAGTGCTAGTGTTGTAGTATCCAGTGCCAGTGTTGTAGTACCCAGTGCCAGTGTTGTAGTACCCAGTGCCAAACTGTTGTAGTACCCAGTGCCAGTGTTGTAGTACCCAGTGCCAGTGTTGTAGTACCCAGTGCAAGTGTTGTAGTACCCAGTGCCAGACTGTTGTAGTACCCAGTGCCAGTGTTGTAGTACCCAGTGCTAGTGTTGTAGTACCCAGTGCCAGTGTTGTAGTACCCAGTGCAAGTGTTGTAGTACCCAGTGCCAGACTGTTGTAGTACCCAGTGCCAGTGTTGTAGTACCCAGTGCTAGTGTTGTAGTACCCAGTGCCAGAATGTTGTAGTACTCAGTGCCAGACTGTTGTAGTACCCAGTGCCAGTGTTGTGGTACCTAGTGCCATACTGTTGTAGTTCCCAGTGCCACACTGTTGTAGTACCCAGTGCCAGATTGTTGTGTTAGTCAGTGCCAGTGTTGTGGTACCCAGTGCCAGAGTGTTGTAGTACCCAGAGCCAGTGTTGTAGTACCCAGTGCCAGACTGTTGTGGTACCTAGTGCCAGTGTTGTAGTACCCAGTGCCAGACTGTTGTGGTACCTAGTGCCAGTGTTGTAATACTCAGTGCCAGACTGTTGTGGCACCTAGGGCCAGTGTTGTAGAACTCAGTGCCAGACTGTTGTAGTACCCAGTGCCAGTGTTGTAGCATCCAGTGCCAGACTGTTGTAGTACCCAGTGCCAGACTGTTGTAGTACCCAGTGCCAGTGTTGTAGTACCCTGTGCCAGACTTTTAGTACCCATTACCAGACTCTTGTAGTACCCTGTGCCAGACTGTTGTAGTACCCAGTGCCAGACTGTTGTGGTACCCAGTGCCAGACTGTTGTAGTACCCAGTGCCAGTGTTGTAGTACCCAGTGCCAGACTGTTGTAGTACCCAGTACCAGTGTTGTAGTACCCAGTGCCAGACTGTTGTGGTACCCAGTGCCAGACTGTTGTGGTACCCAGTGCCAGACTGTTGTAGTACTCAATGCCAGACTGTTGTAGTACCCAGTGCCAGTGTTGTAGTACCCAGTGCCAGACAGTTGTAGTACCCAGTGCCAGTGTTGTAGTACCCAGTGCCAGTGTTGTAGTACCCAGTGCCAGCGTTGTAGTACCCAGTGCCAGTGTTGTAGTACCCAGTGCCAGTGTTGTAGTTCCCAGTGCCAGACTGTTGTAGTACCCAGTGCCAGTGTTGTAGTTCCCAGTGCCAGACTGTTGTAGTACCCAGTGCCAGACTGTTGTAGTACTCAGTGCCAGACTGTTGTAGTACCCAGTGCCAGTGTTGTAGTACCCAGTGCCAGACAGTTGTAGTACCCAGTGCCAGTGTTGTAGTACCCAGTGCCAGTGTTGTAGTACCCAGTGCCAGACAGTTGTAGTACCCAGTGCCAGTGTTGTAGTACCCAGTGCCAGCGTTGTAGTACCCAGTGCCAGCGTTGTAGTACCCAGTGCCAGTGTTGTAGTACCCAGTGCCAGTGTTGTAGTTCCCAGTGCCAGACTGTTGTAGTACCTAGTGCCACTGTTGTAGTACCCAGTGCCAGTGTTGTTGTACCCAGTGCCAGACTGTTGTAGTACCCAGTGCCAGACTGTTGTAGTACCCAGTGCCAGACTGTTGTAGTACCCAGTGCCAGTGTTGTAGTACCCAGTGCCAGTGTTGTAGTACCCAGTGCCAGACTGTTGTAGTACCCAGTGCCAGACTGTTGTAGTACCCAGTGCCAGACTGTTGTAGTACCCAGTGCCAGACTGTTGTAGTTCCCAGTGCCAGTGTTGTAGTACCCAGTGCCAGACTGTTGTAGTACCCAGTGCCAGTGATGTAGTACCCAGTGCCAGTGTTGTAGTACCCAGTGCCAGTGTTGTAGTACCCAGTGCCAGTGTTGTAGTACCCAGTGCCAGTGTTGTAGTTCCCAGTGCCAGTGTTGTAGTACCCAGTGCCAGACTGTTGTAGTACCCAGTGCCAGTGTTGTAGTACCCAGTGCCAGTGTTGTAGTTCCCAGTGCCAGACTGTTGTAGTACCCAGTGCCAGTGTTGTAGTACCCAGTGCCAGTGTTGTAGTACCCAGTGCCAGTGTTGTAGTTCCCAGTGTCAGACTGTTGTAGTACCCAGTGCCAGTGTTGTAGTACCCAGTGTCAGACTGTTGTAGTACCCAGTGCCAGTGTTGTAGTTCCCAGTGCCAGTGTTGTAGTACCCAGTGCCAGTGTTGTAGTTCCCAGTGCCAGTGTTGTAGTACCCAGTGTCAGACTGTTGTAGTTCCCAGTGCCAGTGTTGTAGTTCCCAGTGCCAGTGCTGTAGTACCCAGTGCCAGTGTTGTAGTTCCCAGTGCCAGTGTTGTAGTACCCAGTGCCAGTGTTGTAGTACCCAGTGCCAGACTGTTGTAGTACCCAGTGCCAGTGTTGTAGTACCCAGTGCCAGTGTTGTAGTACCCAGTGCCAGACTGTTGTAGTACC